TGATTCGATTTGATGGGACATATCTAGGAAAGCAACTGATTTAAAGTTGAAGGATTCAAGTAGGAAATGAAGACTATTTTGACCAACATTTATATTTATATTCACCGGCCGGACAATTGTGTTTAACTATTTAGGGTATATAACACAATTGCGAATACAATGATAAGAAAGGGGTTCAAGTATGTTCCATAAATATTTGAGGGATCAGAAATACTTGAATTAATGTTGAAAAATAAGTTTGGGATATAACGAGATGTAATGTTCCTCTAGTAGAGTTACTATATATCCCTAACAGGTTTATAGTACCATGAGCTCTAATATACTCGCTGGTCGCACGATCTATTTGTCTATGAATTTTTGTGAGAAAGATCTAACGTGCGACATTCGCTGTCCCTTGGGTTCGAATCAAGCCAATCATGTACGAGTGGGAGATATTAGAAAATATGGATCATGGATCGCCCATGTGGGGCGACCCAACCCACAAGACATCAAAATGGTTGGAGGTAGTAATTTGAATTTGGAATTCATATCCATAACTCCACATAACCTCTCATACTTCCCATAAAATCTCCAATTTTTTGGTCTAACAATGAATAGAGGGAGAAGATGACAATAAAATGGTAAAAATTTATATGAAAAATATCACCAAAATTGAAAGGTACCCAAAACCACTATTTTGGCATGAAAACTCACAAAAATTGGCACTTAAGTTGTGGCTAATAATCCCATTCCATTGTGATTGGGATTGTGACCATTGGAGTGCAAGAATTTGTAAATTTTGAGTTTTGGAAAGTAAGGTAATTCAACCATTCAAAAGATCTTGGAATTCATCATTTCAAGTAAGTATCTTGACCCAAAATTAATGTTAAAGTATGCTGCAAATTACTTCAATAAGTGATATTGAATTTTTAAATATAGTTGTTGCACGGTCAATTGTCATACTATTGCCAATTGTTTTAAGCACCGCAAAATTAGGACGACCCCCATGTCAACGAATTGCAAGTTACAAATGAAGTAAATGAAGAATCAAAGAGTTATTTCCGAATTGAGTGAACAAATTTGACAACTTCTCTATACTAATCGAATGTATATTAATCTCTTTCTTAATCCACAAGTCATGCGTGCTTTAATTGAAGAAGAAATTATTGTTGCAATTAGATAAGAAGAGAAAGGAGATAATTCTTAGGATGATAGTACACAAATAAAAAAAAGAAGTTTAGCGTCAAGAAGTTCTAACACTTTTTCAAGAAGTTATAAATATTTTGACTTCAACAAGATGATATCTACGTTGGTGAATTATTATGTACCCATAAGTTCAAATTGTGGTAACAACTCTAAAAAATGAATAAAATTGTGTCAAATAAATTTGGATAAATATTTTATTTTAGGATTAATAGCAGAAAACCCCTCAAACGTTTTCATTTACGATATACCCTCCACCTATTGGAAATTGCAGAAAACCCCATATTTGAAACCTTTTGTGTAAAAACCCCCATACCGTAGATTTTCGTTAGAAACGGAAAAAATGTCAAAATTAAAAAGTAATAACTGCAATTTTAGTATCTAAACTTTTTATCCTTTTACAAATTATACACAATTTTTTTATGTATCATCCACAATCCCAAACTTTTAAAACTTTATTTTCCACCCCACCTCACTTCATCTTCTTCCTCTAAACTTTATTATTTTATTTAATCACTTCCAAAAGTTTCCAAAATCCCTCGCCTCAAGTTCATCATTTTCTCTTCTCATCAAAAATGAAAAATCATAATCAACACACGCATATACATAATTTAATAGAGACAATATTCATATGCGCTCAAATAAATGAAATTTAGCTATTTTATATTGAAATTAAAATAAATTTTGAACACATGCACAGTGAATAAACGCATACATGAAAGTGGGGAGAAAGAAATAATACGACTATCACCCATTGATTTCTAAATTAAACTTTAACTAAACTCTTGTAGAATGAATAGAAAAGAAAGACAGAAAAATATATACATTATAACTATTTCTATGTCAAGTGTACATACAATTAGAAAAAATAAAAACACTCTAGCTAAATAATATTTCTGTAAGAAACTTCAAATTGGTAGTCGAAATCATTTTTCTTAACTTCTAAATCTCTCACCCAAAGATCCCGAGAAGAAGAAATGATGAGTTTGGGATGAAGGACTTTGAAGGAGTTTGGAATGGATTAAATAAAATAACAAAGTTTTAGAGAAGAAAATGAAGTGAGATGGAGTGGAAAATAAAGTTTTAAAGGTTTGAGAATGTGGGTGATACATGAAAAAATTTGGGTATAGCTCCCATTTGGGCCACCTTTTTATTTCATTAAAATGAAAAATATGACCGTTATCCATCACATCAACATTTAAATTCAAATTTTCTATCTCTTATGTGAACTCCAATAACGGCTATATTTTTCATTCTCATTCTACAAAAAGGTAGCTCAAACAGGGCATAATTTGTAAAAGAATAAAAAGTTTGGATGCTAAAATTGCAATTATTACTTTTTAATTTTGACATTTTTACTGTTTTTAACAGAAAATTTGACGGTAGGGAATTTTTCACGTAAAACATTTCAAATTAGGGGTTTCAACGATTTCCAATAGGTAGAATATCGCAAATAGGAACGTTTGTAGGGAATTTTCTGCTATTAATCTTTTATTTTATCTTAAAGCTCAAATGTGACATAACAAATTTTTTTTTTGAAATATACATATAATTATTACTATGGGAAGGCAAGACAGGGCTAAACAATTATAAACTTATTGAGATGTGAGGTTTATTCTTAGAAAAATGCTATCCATCCACAGTGGAGATGCATCCCTAATTTATGTGGATGTAAATGATTGGTTAAATGATATGTGAAATTAAATGACTTATTTAATTTCACATATCATTTAATGACACATTAACGTCACATAAATTGGGGATGCATCCCCAGTGGGGATGAATAGTATTTCTCTTATTCTTATTTATAACTGACTCAAGTTGGGATTTTTATGACTACATAGAGATTATATAATATATATAAAAAAGAGTAATGCTATTTAGCAATTGTAAAATATCAGTCTATGTGGCATTAATGTAGCATTAAATAAAAGATATAATTAAATGAATAACTTAATTCTATTTTTCATTAAGTTTATCATTTAATGCTATATAGATTGGTGTTCTAGCACTATTAGTGCTAAATAGCATTATTCATGAATAAATGATCTCTTGATAACCACTTTGATAAACAATAATGATATTACACATCAATTAATTGTTGAATCATTCAATTTTTAGGACCTATCATGTGCTTACTTACCAATCAATCGATGTATCATGTCTTTGTTATTTATCACGATTATTTTATAAAATGTATGATTGCAAAATAAATTTAAAAAACGAGTTTTAAAAAGCTGAGGCGAAATGAACGTGAGTATAATCTTAGCCAAACACGCTCTTAAAAAAAAGTTATTTTTTAGTTTTCTCAATTCAATTTGATCCCTTTTAAACAATTTTCTCTTTTGTTTAAGTGCACCCACTTCCCACGTCTTCTACTTGCTCATCTACCCGTCTCTCTCTCAGGAACACGCGTGTATTGAGAGACCCTCTAGTAGGGTGACCAATGAATTTCATCAATGATAAAGGTAACAATTGGTAAATTTAAATTTCATTTGAATTTCTTTAGTTGATGTGAGTTAAACAAATCTATTTATAGTTCACTTTTAGAGTTTTCAAGGAAACTCATTGCACATACAATTTCTGCTCTAGATTTGATGGATCTAAGTGTGTCATTGGCCATCGAGTTTTGTACTTTGTCACGACTTACTCATCAAACTTTCAAAATTATCCCATTAGCCACTGAACTTTAATCTATTAGTTCCTATTATTCACTGGGTGGATGCCGTCTCATTTAATGTTGAAATAGAAGACGGAAATTTGTTCTGGCCGGTTAACTTCTTCCAAATTTTAATTGTTTTGCCAACTCAGCGCCACGTCACATCGCCAAACACTCCTTTATCAACATTTCACTCTGCGACTTTTCCCAATGAGTATTTCTATTTAGTTCCATTGAAATTATAATCTCAATCCATGTAATTTAATACAACAATAAATAATTGAAGAAAGTACATAAGCACCTATTATTTAGCGCATGATCTAGCTCGGGGGGTTGTAACCCGAAAATGGGTATATAGCATTTTGTGGTGCTACACGTACAGATGGAAAACCAACAGAAATGAGCCAGAATACTCACACCATATGGGGCCAGCGTATTTTTTAATTTTTAAAAGGGAAAATTAGGTCCAATGCTCTAAAAAGTAACCAAATTGGATTAATACCCTGAGATAATTAAACATCACATAAACTCTGTATTAATTACTTCCTAAACTAAAAAAAAATTCCAAAAATTCCTCATGTCACTTGTATCATATCAAATCAGTTCCTCCATTGGACGTTGGAATCTGCGATGAAATTTGGCATTTAACTTCTGGGATTCAATGGTATGAACAACTACGTGAATGTAATTAACAGAGATGCAGACATCAATGGGCTACTGTCACTACACGAGTCCGCCGACGAACCCTTCACTCTAATCAGCTTTCCATGGATTAAGCTCACCAGGAATGAATTTGACTATTTGTTTAATAAACGGGACCCGTCAGGTCCTCTATTCGACTTCGTAATGGAGATGGTCATAGCCCTGTCCAAAAGTTATGGTCTATTGGTGAATAGTTTCTACGAGCTCAAGCCATTGTATGTAGAGTACTGGAATTGTGAGTCTAAACCAAAAGCATTCTTTGTTGGACCCTTGTGTATGGCCCGACAACAAAAAATGGAGCCCGTATTGCACCAGGACTGTAGATATATTAAATGGTTGGATCAAAAACTGGTATAGGAAAAACCATTTCTGTCCCAAGCAAAAATATCATCAACACAGTTAACAAAAATCGCTTGTGGCCTGGAAGAATCGAAAATGAGCTTCTTGTGGGTAGTGAGAAAGAATGGAATAGAATTAGGTGATGAATTTGAAGATAGGATAAAGGAAAGAAGGATTTCTGAGTCACCGTGGCAAAATAATGGGTTGATCAGAAACATATTCTTGAACACGAAATCGTACAGGGATTTCTGAGTCACCGTGACTGGAACTCGGTGTTGGAGAGCATAAGTGCAAAAGTTCCGATACTGGCATTGCCAATGATGGCGGAGCAACCCCTAAATGCAAAAATGGTAGTGGAATTAAAATCAGGTTACGGGTCAAAACAGTTAATAGGTCGGGTAACAAATTTGTGCCCGCGGAGAGCTTGAAGAATAAAGTGAAAAAACTTATGGAAGGGGAAAAGGGAGACGAGGTGAGAAAGAAGGTAAAGCAAGTGGCCGAAGCAGCAAAGAACTCCATAATGGAGGGTGGCTCATCTTGGCATACACAAAACCAACTCATTGAAGAGATTTACTAGCAAAATCAGCCAAAAAAAGTGAATAGAAGTTACTTTTGAGTAAAATTTTTCGAGTAACTTAATTTTGTTCTAAGTTTTGAGTAAATGTATTCACCTTGCTGTCAAAATGGTTTTGGAGCCTTGGTTATTGGAGTGGTGGTGGTGGTGGTGGTGGTGGTGTAGGAGTGGTTGAATTTGCATAAATGATATATGTTCTTGTTATGAATGTTTTGTTTTTGATTGATGTTTTGTCACTTTTTCGAATGTTTGTAATGTTTTTAAATGTTTGTCACGTTTTTTTATCACCTTCTTTATTGTTTGTTACTTTTTTATTTTTAATTTATGTCACTTTTTAGTGNAAGTGACATTGTATTTCACTTCACTTTTTAATGAAAGAGATATTATATACCATTTTTTTTTATTAAAAAGTGATATTCAAAGTGACGTTACACTTAAATTTTTATTAAAAAGTGATACAATGTCACTTTTATTAATAAGTGATACAATTCACCCAAAAAAGTGATCGGTGTTTGTCACTTTTTGAGCGATGTCACTTTTTTTAATTTTTATCATTTTTTAAACTTCTACCACTTTATTGAATTGATTCCAAAATTTTGATTGATATTTTGTCACTTTCTTTAGTCGTCACTTTTTAAATTTCTGTCACTTTATTAAACTAATTCTAAGGTTTTGATTAGTGTTTTGCCACTTTTTGAATGTTTCACTTTTTGGAATTTTTGTGCATTTTTATAATGTTTGTCACTTTTTCCTATCACTTTCTTAAAATTTTTGTCACTTTTTAGGAACAAACATCATTTTTTAATAAAAATGAGATTGTATGTCATTTTTTAATAAAAAAAGTAATACTTAACTTTAAAAAGGAACATTGTGTCACTTTTTTTACAGTATTTTTTATTTTCAAAATATTTTTCATATGATTTTTCAAAGTGTCCCTAACTTTAAGGGTATTTTTATAAGCGACCATTTTTTAATACACAGTGGGGCCACCATGTGAGTTTTCTTGTGTATTTCTGTGGAGATTTCTGTAAAAATGGAAAAATAGTATAGCATTTCTCCTTCCCAATTGATTTGAAACCCTCAAATCCTTCAAGGACTGAGCTTCACTGCCCCAGGGGGTGTGACACCCCCGGCAGAATACACACATTTGGGGGAGGCTTTTTTTTTCATTTTTTATTTCAGTCGGGCCCACATCAGTCCCACCAGCTTGTGAGGGTCAGTCACCCATGTGGTGACCCATTTCTGACAGAGTAGCTTTTTCCATCCTTGAAGTCCAAAAAGAATATTGGCACGTGTACGTAGCAATACACGTAAGGCCGAGGCTGTACATAATGAGGGGGTGCACCCTATGTACCATGCATAGCATGTTCCAATCCAGAAATTCCCCAAATCGATTTCTGTCAAGCTCCACTCCAAAACTACCACTCCAAAACTACCGAATCCTTG